CTAGTTCGCGGGCGGCAAGGGCAGCGTTTGTGGTTGGGTCGGATTCGTCGGTGGGGATGGCGAGAGCAGGCACGATGGGGTCGGTGTAGTTGTTGCGCTCCGAGTAGTTGCAGAAGAAGTCTGAGCACTTGAGGTCGAAGAGGGAGCCGTGCAGGAGTTTGAGTTGTTCGGCGGGGTGTTGGGCGCGCGGTGATAGGCCTTAGTGGGAGTGTTAGCTATGCGACTGTAGGGGTCTGCGGTGGAGACTCACCATCAACGTTCTGGCTCAGCGTGATAAACTGCTCCTTCTTCTTCGCCAGTTCGGCAAGGGCGTAGTGGGCGGGATTTGGCTTGGCTTTGAGGGCCATGTGTCGTCGGTAGCTGTAGAATTGCCACACGAGTCCCGGATCGCGCTCAAAGGCCTGGGGAGTTGCTAGTGATGTCGCGTCATGCGTCCTCCACATGCCTCCCGCACCTCGGAAAGTTGGTAGTCCAGAAGAAGCGGAGAGACCCGCACCGAGCAGCGCGAGAATACGCGTCGACTTGGTCAGGTGTTGCTGGAAGCTCTCGAGGTCCTTGGGCGGAACGACGCTGGGTTGGGCGGCCGACGAGGCCATTCTGCGGATGATGATGGGCAGCGTCACGGTGGAGGTGGTCTTCTTCGCAGACTGGGCGTGCGAAGAGTCGGAAGATAAGCGGCCGGGCGTGTCATGTGTGCGTTGTCTGTCCGACAGGCAGAAATGGGGGCCTGGAGGTGTTTGCGGGGAGGGGGGAAGCTGCGGCGGTAGTGGCACCTGCAAGGTACGTCAGGCTCCCCCACCAGCGGCCTAGCGCCCACCAGGCCGGGAAACCGATGCCTCTTCCGCCGAAGCTTGATTCGCCCGAGCCCAACCTCCGCCAACGACCATGACTTTTGCGATAAAATGGCTGCGACCGGCTGCACGCGTGCCATACCGGTGCGATGCTGCGAGACGCGTCGGGCGGGTGCAGCCCAGAGTCGGCGGCACGAGGGCGTATGCGGCCGCTGCTGTGCCCGCCGCTGAACTCCGTTTTGGCCAACCGCTCCATGAGACGCATCCACACCTACTCAAGGCTGGGGAAGGTGATGACCGCCCGAGCAACGTCTTACCCTCTACTAACATGCTGCAGTCACCCCCGGTATCACGGCACTCGAGTACCACCAACGCCGCGCCGCCCTCGCTAAAGAACTGCCCCTAAACTCGACCGCCATCCTCGCCGCAAACGACCTGAAATATGCCTCCGGCGCCGTTTTCTACAAGTTCCACCAGGACCCAGACTTCCTGTACTTGACGGGCTTTAGAGAGCAGGATGCAGTGGCGGTAATAGAGAAACACGGGGATGGAGAACACACATTCCACCTGTACGTCCGGCCCAAGGACCCCAAGGTGGAAGCCTGGGAGGGCCCACGATCAGGCGTTGAGGCGGCGGAAGATGTCTTCAACGCCGATGTGAGCGGCAGCATCGACGACCTACCGCGTCTGCTTCCCGACATAGTCAACCGCGCGCAAGCCATATACACCGACCTCCCCCAATCCCGCGTATCTAAGAACCTGCTCTCACGCTACCTCGCCGGCGCAGAGCCCTCACGGACTGGCGGCATATTCAACGTCTTTCGCGATGCACCCGCAAGCGTACGACCCCTCCGCCCTCTCGTCAACGAGCTCCGCCTTATCAAGTCCGAAGCCGAAATCACAAACATGCGCCGCGCAGGCCAGCACTCGGGCCGCGCCATCACAGACGCAATGCGGCAGTCCTTCACCACGGAGAAAGACCTGGATTCCTTCCTTGACTATTGGTTCAAGCAAGACAACTGCGACGGCCCAGCATACGTCCCCGTCGTAGCCGGCGGCATCAACGCAAACACCATCCACTACGTCTCCAACGACATGCTGCTCAACCCCAAAGAACTCGTTCTGGTCGACGCGGGCGCCCAGTACGGCGGCTACGTCACGGATATAACACGCACATGGCCTGTATCCGGCAAGTTCAGCCCCGCCCAACGCGACCTCTACACCCTCCTGCTCGCGGTACAAAGATCCTGCATCTCGCTCTGCCGCACAGATTCAAACTTCACCCTCGACAAACTACATCACACAGCTTCTAATTCGCTGGCTGCTGGTCTAAAGGATCTCGGCTTCGACATGGATGCCGATGCCATCCAAACGCTCTTTCCACATCACGTGGGCCACTACGTTGGTCTCGATGTGCACGACTCCCCTGGTCTGAGCCGGAGTAGGAAGTTTGAGAAGGGCATGTGTGTCACTGTTGAGCCCGGTATCTACGTCCCCAATGAAGAGCGGTGGCCCAAATGGGCGCGCGGCATAGGCATGAGGATTGAAGATAGCGTTTGTGTGGATGATGAGAGTCCATATGTCCTCACCACCGAGGCGGTCAAGGAAGTCGTCGATATAGAGGCGTTGAGGGGGACGGAGACGAAGTTGTAAATGGGAATCGTGATATCCGCTTTTGTTTTTCGTGATGGAACGTGCTTTGTCATTTGCTTGATGTAGCCCTGTGGTAGAGATAGCTACAGCAGCTCATCTGAAGATGAGTTTGCTCACCAGCACAGAAGATGGTCAAATAGTCGGAGCTAATCGCACCCACCCCTTCATCGCAGTTCTCACCAATCACGCACAGCAGAATCGCACTAGCGGCCCGCTCTAGGTTTCCCCCACCAGAGCAGCGAACAGCAAACCTACGCATCAACTCGAGGAGCTTAGCTCCAATGAAAACACCATCTTTGGCACAATCCCACCTCGAACCTACAGGTTTCAAGTGTCAATGAGCATCGCCGCAGTACTGTAGCGCATCAACATGGGCCTCAACCTTAGCTGCGTACACCAACACCGCTATCACGTCATTGACGAATCAGACCTCGGTCTTTTCAAAGTTCCATATTGATCAAGCCATGATTGAGCTGTAACAGCCATCAGCAGCCAGCCTACGTAATTCAGGTGAGGGCCTGGTCTGGTTCAGACGCATAATCCACGAAAACACATCACCAGTATCCAGAGATGGCATTCCACGAATACAAAGCTCTAGCGGAACGTCACATCAGGCTTCTCAAGCTACCGGAGACTTCTCAGTGTGAGGAACTTCTCATCCTCGTGGAAGTATCACTGGATGCGCCGCCTCCATACGAAACGATCTCCTATGTATGGGGCGAGCAAGATAAATCCTTTGTCTTCGACTTGGGCTCGGGGAAGTCGGTCCTCATCACGCCAACATTGCGCACTACACTTACGCGAATTCGTCCTCATTGTCAAACAGGCTATATATGGGTTGATCAGGTACGGCAATGTTCTACGAAACAGACAGAAGTGTCTCACTAACTCTATCGTGACATTCATAGTTATGTGTCGACCAAACAAGCATCCCCGACCGCAACCAGCAAGTATCTCTCATGGGAGAGATATACAGCAAATGTCAACGCGTACTAATCTGGCTCGGGCAAGAGACACCCTGCTCCGAATATATGTCCTACTACCTGGGCTCCCTCCTCCCTCCCGCAATCCAACAAAAAGCCAAACACACACCCACATCAGCCTCCCATCTATCACAACCTGGCAACCAGTCCTTCGTCCGGAACCTCCTAGCCCTACCCTGGTTTACCCGAGCTTGGATAGTCCAAGAAGCAGTCTTACCCACCCTCGCTTCCTGCTTCCTCGGCGCATTCATGTTCTCCATAGAAGATTTATGGGCCGTTGTAGTCCACTTTCGTAGTGCGGAACGGTATCTCACACGGAGGGATTATGTCAACTTACGCCAGCTACCGGGGTATTTGGTGCTGAACGAGATTATGCGATTGCGGATGCAGGCGCGGTATCAGCGCGGTCCTAGCCCCAACGAGTCGACGTGTTTCTACCACTCACTTTCCGTCTTCGCGCCGAGATCGAGAACGTCGAGTCGACATGATATTATCTTCGCTTTCCTAGGATTGCAGCGAGATCGGCGGGTTAAGATTCTGCCGGACTACGACATGGAATGGGACGTCGTACCTTGCGTAGCCACCAAATCCATCATCGAAGCTACAGCCAGTTTGAACCTATTCGGACTGCTGCACCGGAAAGACGAAGAAGCGAGTCGGTGGCCAGTTCTGGCGTCGTGGGTGCCAGATTGGTCGAGGACGGCCGAGGCGGAACCGCTGGTTTTTCCGAGGAGTTGGATTTACTTTGATGCTTCTGCTGGGAGACGGCATGAGGTGAAGGCGGTGAAGGACCTTGACGCATCGCATTTGGTAGTTACGGGAAAGATTATTGGTGAGGTGGTGCACACGCTTGCGTTTACAAAAGGCCTTGCTGAGCCGCTCGCAAACCGTCATGGGTGGGACATTTGCTCTTACCTCAACTTGCCATATCTACACTATCTGTCGAGACAGATGTGGCGACAGGAGACGACTGCCCCATCAATGGAGCGTTTGCTGAAAGTAATTCTAGCCGACGGTTCCTTCACACTAAACCAGAAGCTAAGAGAGCACTGCAGCGAAGGTCTACCAGCTTCTGATATAGACGAGCTAGTTTCAACGTACTTGGCGACTGGAAACGCTCCAAAGGAGCGCGATGTTGTCACAATGGGTCGTTCCAAGAATGCTGATGATCTAGGGAAACGAGCGACCAGACTTCGCGATCATGCTCGCGTAGCTTGGGGCCGACAGGTTTTTGTGACGTGCGATTGGAGACTTGGGCTTGCACATCGTTCCGTCTGCGAGGGCGACTTGATATGCATCGTCCACGGTTCGAAAGTGCCTCTTGTGCTCCGTCGTCTTACTGACGGTTATTATCGCTTGATGGGCCAGTGCTACTTTGAAGGCGCTATGCGCGGCGAGGAAGTAGACTGGGATGAGGCGAGTGCAGATGAATTCGTACTTGTGTAAGCGGCGCTGCTGGTAGTGTTCATGTTTGTTGGTACTTTTCCTAGACAATCCTAAGACAAGAAACCATTAATTGAGTGAGAGATTATTTATTAAATATACACGTGAAGTGCCTAATTAACTACTACTTCTAGTAAGTGTAGCAAAGGAGTTTACCCTGAGTATCCAAAAGATCCCTCAACTTGACAGTCGGCGCCAACTTACCCAGACCAACCTCAAAGTCCAGAGTGACGTTCTTGCCACTGTAGTCGAAAGGAATGATCGGGCCACCAACCTGGTGAAGGCGGTTCTTCAAGTCCTTCTGCTGCCACATCGAGAAGATGTGGTCGATGTTTCCGTGGTGGAGGTAGAAGACGGGTTCACCGGGGCTGTTGTTCGCATCACCGGCCTGTCCCAATGCACCGCCAACGCCGAAGTGACCACTGCCGTGGATGTTGGGTACCGCGAAGGTAGCCTCGCCCTCGACTGCACGGGCAAAGCCGGTGTAGTCCTTCGAAGCCATGACCTTATCGACGAGCTTCTGGTCGGCCCAGACGTTGATGAGGGTAGGGACGAAGTCGCGCTTCAGGCAGTGAGGTTCCGGGAAGTTGACCATGAACTTGTCAGGTGTGAAAGGTCCGTTGGTGACGCATCCACCACCTGTTCCACCTTCAACACCAAAGGGGTTCGTCTCGGGTGTGGGGTCGACCTTGACGCCGTTACCGCCGAAGCCGGTATCTGGCTGCCAGATCTCAGAGTCGAAGATGCGTGTCGATGTGGGGTTTTGAGGCTCCGCATCTGCAGACCAGTTCCAGTAGGGTTGGCCGCCGGTGTAGCCGCATTCTTCGCGCAGAGCCTTTTCGTAGGTGGCGACGAAGTAGCGGTGCCAAAGTGTGAAGTGACCGACCCAGTGGATGTCGGGTGTTTGGCTGCTGTGGACGGCTTGGAAGTCGTCGAAACGGTTGATAGCGCCCTCGATGCCAGAGATGGCTGGCTTTGACGCTAAGCAAAGTACAGCATCGATATATGCCTTCTTCTGTGGGATTGACAGCTGCTTCCTAATAGGCAGGTGGTCAGCATAGTTTCAGAAGAGTTTCTGATGTGTTAGACCTACCATTCGTAGCGCTTGATGGGGTTCTTGCAAGTCTTGGGTGCAGATGCAGGAAGAGCCGCTGCTACTGCCGACGAAGCGAGACAGAGCGAAGAGATGAGGACGTTGATCTTGACCATATTTGCGGTTGAAGTTGAAATGCGCAGCTATGTGTTTCAGATTGTTCGAAGGCGGAGTCTTGAGGTCCCTGGAGACTTGTAAAGATGGTGGGCGTCAAGCTTTATGTGCGGCTCACTGTAGGCCTTATCAGACGCATTTTACCCGTGCAAGACCCATCGAAAAGCATGATCGCTATCAAAATTAGAGCAAAGGGCAGAGAGTGGCGAACAGACGTGAGCATTGGGAATAGAAACGGGACGTTGGACCCTACGCTGTGGGATTTGGAGCGATGTCCGGGGCCTGGAAAATTCCTGTATGCATGGCGATTCAGGAGACATGCAGCCGCGCCGCATGCAAGGAAAAGTTGAATGTGTACCTGCTAATCAAATGTTACATGCGTTAGTGTGCGGCGCAGAGATCTGCGTGGCCATCGAGTTGTCCAAAAACCTTGCTGTACATATGCCATCGCAGGCTACAACTGCTCAAGCTCTTCTTTGCATGGGATGGTCTTATTGCAAATCCCCATGGCTTTTCAGCGTCCGTTGAGCCTAAGGAAATGTCCCGAGCGGAAGACGTAGCGTGGCTAGTGCATGTCCCGTCAAATGTAAGCTACCGAGAGCTTGGACGGCTCGTATTCCTCCCATGTGGCGCTTAACCGGAGGCGATTGGTTCGGAGGCGCTCTACACGGGAAGCCCTTATTGATGTCCTTCCTTTGGGTTCACCCATGCGCGCCCACGGTCTACTACCTAGATGTGATGGCATGGCCAGACCAGTTTGAAGCGGAAACGCACGTTCTGTGATTGCCTAAGCATTGAAGCATACAACAATTTCGGATGATTGTGGCCGGTGGGCCGGTCTGGATATTCCTGTAGGATTTACCTTGCATAGCCAAGACATCGTTGCCGAGATAGCTAAGATGGATGCGTGTTTTCTCCCCTCATCCTTTCGATCTTGTCGTGTTGGCGGTCACATGGGATTCTTTGAGTTCAGACCAAAGCACCTGATAGGAGGCGTATTGTTTCTATCGGAGTTTTGCTCCCAAACGCGTGTCTTTGCTCAAGCAGCAAAGTCGCTGCGATGAGGTGTGTGAGCTACCTGGGTAGGGACGGGAGAACCAACGGATCGGTTTGGCCCGCCTCCGCGCTGCGGCACAATCAACCTCTGAGTCGTGTGTTTAACGACTGCATTGATTGGAAGGACTCCAACATGTCCAGGTGTTCTTGTTGGCGATTGACGGGAAAAAATAGGGTCAATGGTGGCGAACGGGATTGGATGCTGGGAAGAGAAGGCACGGGACGGAGCTGCTGAAAAGCCCTGGTCTATGTGACAACGGAGCGTTCCTTCGTCCCAGGACCCTTCGTCTTCATTCGCGCTGCTCCTCTGGGTACCGGCTCTCGGCTGGGGAACGGGGAGAGCGCGCGGGTGAGTCCAGTTCCGCCTCGCAGATAGCCGAGGGGAGCTAGACTGTTTGGGGCGAAGAGCCGCATCGCCAACATCCACCATGACTGAACGAGGACAGTCGCACCGAACTCGCAAATCCTTCGCACTCTGTCGCCCTCCAGCCGCTTCTTCTATCCAATGATGGCTCGGAGGAATTAGCCGCCGAGGAAGGAGTTCATTCAGTCCTGTTGGAAATGCGGCATGTAATAACAGAAGGATTGAGAAGATGAAGCTGCTGGGCAATGTCGTTCCGCGTCACGGCTGGGCGTGGTCAGGGAGGATTTGGTAACATTCATAGCTATGTTTCGTGCCTGTTAATGTCAGATCAACCTGATGTGAGTGCATGCCTCCATTATGGCAGACGGTGGCTATGGTATCACTTGGGACAATGGCTCGCGGCAGCCAATGTTCGTGATCACGACTGGATTTTTAATCTTCTTCGCGACAATAGCAGTAGCACTTAGGTAAGATCTCTCAGCTCTTGATGAGTACATTCACTGACCATTTGCTCATCTTTTCCTAGGCTTTACTGTCGCTTCACTTTCACACGACACATAGGACTCGATGACAAGTTCATGGTAGCTGCATGGTTGGTATCAGTTTCTCTCGGCATTCAGAATGGTTTCCTTGTTAGCTGGGGAACTGGGTATGTACATCCGTGCCTACACAGCATATGGCCACTAACAGAAGAGAAAGTCGACACAACGCCGATTTGGATGCCTCGATCATATTGATCCCCACATTCAAGCACTGGTAAGACACCTATTCTCCAAACAGAAGGCTCACGATTGACTCTGATTCAGGTATGCGTATCAGCTCGTGTACCCATGGGCATTGTTCTTCGTCAAAGCTAGCATCTTGGCTCTCTACCATCGAATCTTCACCCAAACCAAGTTTCGCTATACTGTGTACGGTGTAGCCGCATTTGTTGCTGTTCAGACAATCGTTGTCACATTTGTCAACGTAAGTCATACGCGGAGCTACCATATACCTCCCTGAGCCTACCACTGACTTCCCCAGGCCTTCGAGTGCGGAAAAGAACCATGGAGAGCCTGGTCCCCAACCTTTCCGAAAGGATGTAACGACCTTGCCAAGACATACTTCTCGATGGCTTCGGTCAACATCCTCACCGATATCTTTATCCTAGTTATGCCGATGCGAGCTTTTGGGCAACTGAAACTTCAACGGACCAAGCGATTTGCGCTCCTCGGTGTGTTCATGGTCGGCGGCGTAGCGGTGATTGCCTCTATCGTTCGACTGTACGCTCTCTATGTGTACGCTGTAACGGATGATCCACCATACGATGATATTTTCGTAAGTACCAATCCAGTCGAAACCTTAACGATCCATAATTATACTAACGCTGCAATAGATCCTCTTGCTCTCGCAAATCGAAGTGAACGCAGCCATCATATCTGCTTCCGCCCCAGCGCTCCGACCACTTCTTACCAAGGCATTCGCATCCTCATCCCACAACTCATCCGGTCAATACCCAGTGTCCTACGGGGTTGGTGGACCGAACTCTAAGATGTTCAGCCGTACTGCTCGAACGCGTTCAAGGGGACATATGGAGCTATACTCATTCAATGGAACAAAAAGGGTTAGTAAAGCTCCGGTAGGGGATACCCGGAATACAAGTGAAGAATCCATACTGGGCCCCGAGGGCATTACAAAGACGGTTGAAACAAGAATCGAGGAAAATTACTTGGGAGATTCTATCAATGGAGGGCATGGTAGACATGGGGAAACCCAAGGGTATGATGGTGTGAGGCATAGCGATGTATAGTATTCACGATCAATAGTCCTATAATGGAATTCTACCAGTCACGAGACAGAGCGTGTGGAAACGTTGGTGGAGTGATGTTCAATTTTCCAATAGTATCATTTCGTTTCTACCTACACACAAAGTCATACCTCAGCGTCTGAGCGGACTGCGGAAGCCCATACTACCAAACTGGCTACCTCCCTTCTTCGGTGTCGTCAATGGATCTGGTACTTCCCCGCCATAACTCCCACTCACAGCCCTGTGTCCCTGCCCGCCATTCCCGACAGCTCTTCCCCCACTACCCGGCGCCTTGAATCCCACCAAACTGCCCTTGGCATAGACGTCATTCAACATCTGTTCCAACACGCCCGCATCATCAAACTCCTGCCACTTTCTCCACAGCTTCAGCGCCGTCGTCGCATCCTCGATGGAATCGTGCGTATCCTCTTGGATGCTCTCTTTGAGTACACACCAAGCCAGGAACTTCAAGTTCAGTTTTCGCTTGAAGTCTGGCTTGAACCAAAGGTTGCTTGTGTCGACGACTTGGTTCTTGGGGACGTGGATGTTGATGGTGCGGAAGTCGTTGGCAAGTGAATGGCCGACGAAGACACATCCTAGATTGAGTAGCAACCATAACTTCTTGTAGGCGTGTTTCAGGGATACTGGCGCGTGTGGAGAGGTTTCGCGGCTGAGGTCGCCCGGAGAAATACCAGACCATTCGGTGAGGTAGTCGACCACTTGTTCGGTCACAGCGATATAATCATCGATGAAGGGAAGGCCTGCCTGCTCTCCTTCGCCGCGACATACAGAGACACGAGCTAAGCCCTTGCGATCAGGACGAATGGTCTGGCGGGTGCCATCAGCCTTCATTTCGATCTCTTCAGCTTGAAGGCGGATGAACTCGGCATCGATGGCGACTGGATAGCCAGGGCGTGGCTCTTCTGATGAGTGTTGAAGCAGCTTAAATTTCTCCTCGGGAGGCGTTGGGTTAGACGACCACCACCTGTACAGAATGGAAGTGTCAAGGTTCTGTTTCCACGAGTCGTCGATCTTGTTACGGGCAGACTTCAGCTGGAAGGTCAGGACAGACGGAAGCTTCCAACTTGTATCGAAGCGCAGAGCTTCCTCTTTGGGAATTGGTCTCACTAGGAAGTCGTTAAAGAGATGCCATCTGTCCTCTAAATCCTCTTCTCGTGACGAAGGTGCGGTGTTGATGGTCGCTACCAGGTGAGGCTTCTGACGCTCGCCGCTGTTGATATCCGCGACAACTCCAACAAGTTCATAAACCATGATCTGATGTACTCCGCGTTGCAGGTGTAGCTTCAGGTCTTGGCCTTCGAAACAGTAGAATTGACCTTGATCTACTATGATCCCGATCTCTTGCGGAAGCCAATTGGGTGTCGACCACAACAACTTGGCTTCATGACTTTGTATGGCAGCGTTAAGCATCAGCACTCCCGGTACTGACTGTATCGTCTTCCGCTGTACCATCTGCTGATAACGGTTGCACTTTGTACACCAACCCCGAGTTTGATCTTGCCGCTCGACGCTGGCTTTCAAGATCTGTGAGAAGGTCGGACGTGCTATTCTCGTGTTCCTCATCACCTGCTTCGCAGGATATACGAGCTCATTGACGAAGTTCTTGCCTCCACGAATGGTTTCGTTGTTGCACTGTGCACATCTCATGCTCGCTTTTGCTTGGGTTTCCAGTACTTGATCCATGGCCGAAGGCCCAGTGTTCCCTGGAAGCATTTGTCGGAATTCTTCGGAAACCTTGTCCAACAGAAAGCGGTTGAGGTTCTGGATCATAGTGGTAAGTGCAACGTTGGGAGCAAATTCTTCAAGCAGATTCAGTGAGACAGCATTCGAAAGGCCACTGAAGGTCTTCAAGAAGTTAGATGCCTGACAGTTGAGCCCAGCCGCCTTTTCGAGCATATCGATGAGAAACCCCAGTTCGCAAAGAAGGCAAGACTCAAAGAGGCATGGCGAAGCAGTGTGTTGTAGAGCAAGGTTTCGTAGCAGCGGCGTAAATCGGAAGAGTTGCAGAAGTGAATTGGCGTAAGAGTTGGTAATGTGAGTTTCTAGACCAGAGTAGGGTGTCTGGTTGTAGTAGCTGGTGCCGTGTCAGTGCGTGGGCAAATGATATTGTTGGGAAGACATACGCGAAGTCGAAGTCATCAACACCGAACTTGCTGTACTTGATTTCCACGTTTCCATACATGGCTGGGACATCTTTGCGTGTAACATCGTCGAGATGCAGGTCGGTCAAAGTCTCCATAGTCTCTGTTATCCGGGCATCTGGCTCGGTGAAGGACTGCGACGCTCGAGCTTTCTCACTTAGAAACTTGGGGGCAGACAGCGATTCGCTCACTCTATCCACCTGCCGTGTTGCTTCGGCTTGGTTTCTGCGCTTCGTGTTGGGGTTCTTGGCGTAGAATCCAATCTCGGCGCGTGTCATGTTGCCGAGTATCGTGCTATCAATCTTAGGCGGAGGGGCACCGACTTCGAAAACTAGATGACTAGGCCAACTCGAAAGCAGCTGTTCCTTGTAATATGGCATACCAACAGTGCTTAGGGGCCTAGAAAAGGTGAGTAAAACGTAGAAATTGGCAATTGGTGGGACCTACGTGTCAGGGCTCCAGTCCATCTGTGGCGGCGGTGGGACATTATGATCTGCAGTCTCTGTTGGGTTGCTGTATTCTGGGAAGTGGACCTTGGTCGGAGAACCCCATAGGTGTATGTGCGAATTGGAATCTGCTAGTGCAATAGCCTCGCCAGAAGGTGCCATTTCAAAGCCAGTAAGGAATGAATCATAAAAGTTCAGCTGCCGGAGGTTGGCCGAGTCGGGGTTCATGAGATCGATGACCTGCATCTGGCCGTTCTGAGAGGCGATGAAAGCTGTAGTAGACATACGGGGATGCATGCGCACATAGGCTGCACCTGTGTGGAATGGGATGGGAGGTAGCTGCTTGAGCGTCTTCAAAGAGAAGACATTGGTGAATGGATCCAGCATATATGCATATTGTTGTCGCGGAGACCATCCGCATGTTGCGAGGAAATCGCCCTTTGCGTCCATGTCGTTGATGCTCCCAGTATGACCTTCGAAGACCTTGATGACGGCAAGCGAATTTGAGTCCAAGATGTGGATGCTACCGGTCTTCGTGGCGGCGCAAAGGTACTGTCCAGCACGCTTCATGATGGTGTATTGAGCTTCGGCAGGGAGCTTCCATTTGTTAGTTCGGGGTAGTTGATGAAGGCATGAGATATACCGTATGTGTGATGATGCCCTTCTCCACGTCTACTTTGAACATTTGCGCCTGGCATCCTGCGACGAGGATCTCGCGCGTGCCTTTGGAGGTGAAGTTCATGCATGTCATATCCTTGAACTCGGCGCTCCTATACGCTGATGGTCAGCCGCTGCCCTTGTGCGCTCTTTCCCCTTCCGCAGCCAACATACGTCAGGTGCCATTGTGTGAGTCCGCGGCGGTGGGAATAGTGGACGCTTTGTTTAGAGACGGAGAGAATGCCCTTCTCGGTGAAGAGGAATTGCTTGACGGGGCCATCGGGAGGCGCATGTCCGCGGTACGAGGTGTAGCGTTCGAGGTGAGGGCCGTAGAAAGACGTGATGCGCCCCTGCGAAGATGTCAGTCACACGGCACCTGGCACGGGCCGCGTGTGAACGTACTCACATGGTTGTTTCCTGTCCATAGCAGTTCTTGTGTGGTGTCGAAAGCGAATGTCGATATAGGTACAGTGGGTAGGTGTGGTCCTGGGGGCGGCAATTGAGCGATGGCTAGCTGCGCAATGGTCAGTACGGTAGGCGTGATTGGCATGCCGTCGGCTCCCTACCTCGTCCCAGTCCGCCTCCATGCTGAAGTCGCGTGTTGCAGTCCAGGAGCTCTAGGGAGCAGTCCCGACATGCCTTGCGCTTCGTGGTTGACGGACGCGTCGCGGTAGTTGGACCGTCGAGGCGTGGGGTGAGGCCGGAGCTAGAAGACGCGAGGATGTGTGCTGGTGGGACCGCGGGGCATCCGGGAACAAAGCCGCAACCACCGCCTTGGAAGGTGCTCGGCAACTCAACGTTTTTCGCGTAGAACACGAGTCTACACTTAGTGTTCATGGCTATGGCACAGTGGCAAGTGATCTTGAATTTGAATGTTTGATTCCTATGAACAATCCCCAAACGCTATTTGTCCGACCGACTACGTAAAAGACCTGGCCGCAGATGATGTACGCACAAGAGTAGTGGCTCATGTACGCACGCACGAAAGGAGAAAGTAAAAGTGCATGTATCTTACCTGACAATGTAACTGGTCCTAGCCATACGTGATGCGTGATGCGTGACCAGTGATGTCAGATGAAGTGGGTATCGAACGCCTATCGAGTCGTCGTGCTTAGTGAGTTGGCTCAACAGACGAGAGTGTGTACCGAAGAGTCATACCGAAAGATGCAGATGTCGTGGTCTTCGTGTAAGCTCAATCGAGTAGTCGTGACAAGTTGGGACGAGTGCGAACTCCTGCATCAGGTTAGCTCCATCCTCTTATACAAAGCCGAAGCTTCGCTTCTCGATCAGCAGTGGATCAATCCATGTAGCTGAGGTGTGTCTAGGTCTGAAGTTGGCCCAAGGGCAACGTAAGCAAGGGATTCAGAGTATCAAATGTTTTCGATCACACTTGTACGTACCACGGAGTATTCGTCGACCTCGCCTTGGACGATCTAGAAGCCTTTGCGGTCGCCAGAGTACTCCTCGTCCTGGTCGGCGTCGGCCTTGTGGTCGTAACGCTGACGCTTGTGGGTTTCGGTCATGCCCTTGCCAGAGCCCGTAAAGCCAACTGTGAGGGTTAGCGATGAGACACGGGAAGATTGCTAGATTTACTCACCTCGACTGCCAGCCTCGGTACTGGTACGGAACATGGACTCCTTCTTGACAACGCCCTTCTTCTTGCCTTTGTTCTGGAAGTCGGCCCAGTTTGACTGCCTCTTCTTGAGGATGCCTTTGTTGGC